TAAGAATACCCCTCTTCTAGACTAAACAGGCATTGATTTCATACATCTTGTGTATATAAAACCTTTTTGCTCGAACTGAGCTGGAATTTAATAACTCAAGAAAGAAAGAAAAAAGAAGCAAGTACTCTCAGATTACTAATAAAATGAGGAGATTACAGGCTGAATTTATGCAAATATATTTTTTTCTTGTTGGTCTCGATTTACCCTGTTATTTCAAATTATTGTGTTTCGTGGTGAGAAAGTTAGAGAAACTATTAATCCAAGTAGCATGCTGCGCTTGTTTGTTTGTTATGAGGAAACATAGTATATATGTAGAAAAATTGGAATGCTATAAGCTTTGAATTGAGAATAATATTACAATGGAAACTTCTCTGAATAAAGACCTACAAGAAGAAATAGCTACTGACTCAGTTTGTAGTGTGACTTTTTAAACAGGCTTAGTTACCTAAGAATTAGGAAAAGATCTTAATAGACAACAACTGTTTCTATAAAACTGAGTAGTTAAAATATGCTTTCAGAGAAGCTATTTCTTTAATAAAGTTAAAATTAAACTCTTACAAGACAGTCTTACAGAAAGAAATTTAAATTCTGTGGCAATGAAGACTTCTAGTAACTACATTTGATAAAAGGAACTGTGAAAATATTACGTGAAATGTAATGTATGGAAATGTACATTACATTTCTGTAGAATGCAGGTATGTTAGAGAGCCTAGCCTCAACTTGTGAAATAGGAGAGCAGTGGAAGTAAAAAAGAAAAATACATTGTCATTATATAAAGAATGATTTAGACTTTCTCTTCATCAAGCATATACCTTTTTAGTCACATAAAGTTCTATTTAAATAAAAAAAAATAGATCTTTTGGAATTTACATTGATTGTAGACAGTATTCACTGATTTTTGTATTGTTTAATTTTACCAATGTCAAAACTAAGCGTTATGAAACAGTAAGGTTGGAAATTGAGATACTAAAACCATTTTAAAAATGTGATGTGGTCAATTAGTGATTCAAGCAAAGAATGTTTCACTTGTATATTACAAAATAAAAAGCTATTTTTTGAAAAAAAATTTTTTTGAGGGAGGGAGTGCATTACAAATCTGTGCATAGAAAAATACCAGAAACTGAGGCTTTTTGTTTATAGAAGCAAAAATACTACTACAGTTATGATGCACAGAATATGTCTGTCAGTTATCTTCATCTTGATGTGGAGGGGAACACCCTGTTAAAGGAATGACTCAACTCTTAGCCTTCCTTTTAAGGACAAAATGTGATTTTTCCCAAATCGAATCTGTTGGCACTATTGTTGTAAGGACAGGCTTAGACTAAATCTTCATACTTAAATGTTTCAGATAGGACCTTCAATTCCCCTAAAACATTCCTACAAAATATATGTGTAACAGAAGAATGCCGGCCATTAAATTGCGTAGTTGGGTTGTATCTTTCAAACCTCACTGAAGTCACCAAAAACATTTTCATAAGCTTCAGTGGAACTTGAGTCAGACCTTTTGTCATTTCTGTGGGTAATTTAGCTTACCTTTAGGTAAATTTTAGGTATATTTATCAAAATAAATATATGAAGAGAGAATTAATAATTACATTTAACAATCCATGATACATATTCTGCTGATGGTTTGTTTCCGTGGGTGATTTTTTTATTATTATTTTTTAAGTCTCTGCTAGAATTACCTTGTTTTCTTATTTGTAAATCTTTTTTTCATTTATTTCAGTTATTTTGTATATACATTGATTGGGACAATTGATGTAACAAAAAGGACTAATAATGTAAATATTAATTATGCTACTATTACTCACCTTTTGCTCATGAAAAATAACTAATGCCTACCATTAACACTTATTTTTCTGAAATCCATCAACAATAAAAAAAAAAAGCTGTGTTTCTGTGAGGTCTATAAAGAAATTGAAGCTCTCTGGACTTCACAAATTACATAATTGTCATTTGCATTTATTTTTAATTTTTAAAGTAAATTACCTGTTTTGTAGTAGAGTTTTTATGTGTGAATTTAAATGGGCATTGCAGAAGAGAATCTCAAGTCCTGTTTAAATCCCAGAATCATGACTTTTTTGGTTTAAATTAAATTATTATCTCTTTAATTTTGTTTCTTCTGTTTGCTTTGCTATTGCTCTGTCATACAATTTTAACACAAGATAGTGATTTTGCAGCAGCATGTTGCAGACAACTGTTGGACTCGATAATTGTAATTGAGCATTTAAGTATTATTGGTTTCAGGAGACAAAAAAAACTAGCTTAATGTATATCACAAGTGATA